GGCCGAGGGGGCTGGCGCGGAGGGGCTGGGGCTCCCGGTCTCCTCCGGGGCGGGAAGGTCCTCGCTGCCGCCTCGCCCTCTTCTGACCCTCCCTGCCAACGGCCCCCAGCATCTGAAGGACACCCGAGAGACGCTGACTGTGCCGACATGGGTTAGCTGGAAAGGGCTTGATACCCAGGCGAAGCTGCTGGCAGAGATCAGTTTTCACTCGGTTTGACATCCTCCCCGCCGCATCCATCGCCTCCGTCTTTGGAAGGTCTGGATTTGTTACTGGTGCCCTTTTGAGAACAACCGAGCTGTCCCTCAGGCTCGCTGTCGCAGTAACAAAGCTGAAAGCAAATCGTCTCGGGAGAGGACCGGTGCTTTTTGTGCAGAAGGAAGGGAGGAAAGAAGTGTTATGTGTAACTCTCACAAATCACGGTGAGACTTGTTTGAGTGTACGATCAATTTATTAATTAGCAAGAAGTGGCAATAAGCAAAACAGCGCTGGGTGGCCCGGGAGCCTCTGCTCCACCGACGGCGCACACCGGTTGGCAAAGCACATCAGGTTATGTACAGAAAAATCATACATATTCATCAGATTTCTTGGAAAGGTGGTCTTATGGTGATGAGCTCCCAAGCATGCGCAGTAAAATTAGGGTTAGGGTCTTTTCACCCTCCGGTGGTCGTTCATAGTCTTCCTCACTTTGTCCTCTGGTTGAACTTCGGGCTTCCTTTGTCCATATATAGTCATTGAATTAGTTTATCAGTCCTTGACTCTGGAATATTACAAGGGGACCAGTTTAACTAGTCTTTTAACACTTCTCTTGACACAGTCGTCCTGAGTTCCTATTATCAGTGATTTACACCGGAGGCCTAATGAGCTAGCTCAAGGCCCATAAATTCTGGTCATGTAAGAATTTACATGTCTCTACTAAATCACTAAAACTATGCAAGTGAAGCTGAGAAAAATCACAGCAAGGTTTTAGTCGGGGATTGTCAGGGATTTAACCCTTTCATTTCCCCCATTTCTCTAAAATTTGTAAATTCCTTTATAAATATTCTGAGTTATCATATTTCATTACCTTGGGTAAAGTCCAAACTCTCATAGCCAGTTTCCTTAGCTTATACCACAAAAGACAATTGTCTCATCAGGTTTGGTGAACAAATCAATATACCACTTATCACAGAAGGGAGGAAGGGAGGGAGGGAAAAAAAAAACGCTCTCTTGCCCCACCTTCGATCCCTGGCGTGTAGTCTTCACCCCTTCATTTTGTTCTTCACTCCTCCACTTCCCTCTCTCATTACAGGCAACGGCTATGAACTCAAGAGGTTAAATCAGAGAACAGCTCGTAGTAGCTTACTTGTGCAAGTAAAGCACTAGTATCATCTTTTCCTAAGCCACATATTTACCTGCCACTTGCTTTTTACTGCTGAGAAAGTGCAGTCCTGCAAAATTCCTTCTATTAAAAAACATTTTACAAATTACTGTCACTAGGGGATGCTTCCAAATGCAAACAGAACAAATGCACCCCCATTTCCCACAGCAAAACAGAATACACTTCCGGGAAGGGCACAAGACAGGAGCCCCGTGAGGCTGCAGCTGTTCCTCTACAGGAAAAGAAGGTTCAGAGGCTGACCCAGCTTCCGAGTCTCTGCTTCCAGAACAGCAGCTTTGGGCTCCCTGACCGCAGCTGTTACGGAGTAAGACAGCTCGTGGTGAAGGTCTGACAGCTCCTGGCTGGTCTTGGCACAGCAATCTTGTGCCAGCTGCATCTGCAGGAGGGACACCTGAAAGAGGCAAAAGGCTGAGCTCAGACAAGCCCACGCTGTTAGGACCATCCGTAGCTCCACGGTACCGGCTGTCAGGGAAGACGCATCCTCTAACTCCAGCCCTGTCAAACACTTTGTCCTTCTGGAATGGGAAGTAACAGGCTCCCAGAGTCACCCTGAACTGAACTTAGATTATGAACAATTCAAGTTCCTTTCTGGCATACCGTTCACATGTACAACACCGAGACATTACATGTATTATTAAAGACATGTATTGTTATTACATGTATATTAAAGACAGAGGTTCCTACAGGATTTAGTAACCCAAGTCTTTTTTTTCAAAGGACAGATTTGGGCTGTAGATTTTGGGGTTTTCACGAAGTGAGTGAACGGCTGTATGGTGTTAGCTGTCTGCTGTGTTAAACCACAACTGTCCTTTTGCGAGACATTACATGTATTATTAAAGACATGTATTGTTATTACATGTATATTAAAGACAGAGGTTCCTACAGGATTTAGTAACCCAACTCTTTTTTTTCAAAGGACAGATTTGGGCTACTGACACCTTAGTTCCACATGCTTTGTCCTCAGCAGGAGGACTGCTGGTTACACAAGGTAGTGAAGAACTGTTCTGTTATGGTCCAGTTTAAAAACTTGACAGCTAGCACATGAAAAGGGAGCAAACCCTCATTTTTCCTAACTTGAGAGCATTTCACAAATGAGCATAATTTGATGAACAACGGCCAGGGGGGAAATGAGCCTTAAAGGACTGCCGAGGCCTTGAAGATCCTCAAACTCTATTATTTCCTGGCAACACAGGGTTGTGCCTGCTGGGCTTTTTGGTGGGAGAGACCCAGCTGCGCTCACCTCCTGTTAGGTTTGCAGTGCAAGTGCAGCCACAGCAGCTCTGGCATGTTGCCTTCTGCCTGCTCTGGAGCGGAGGAGGTGCCAGCACTGGCAGCAGCGCTCAGTGCTTTGCTGTTTTGGGGAAAACAGCTCAGGTCAGAGGTTTTCTTCTGTTTGCAAAGTGACATGTGCTTTGCCAAGGGCTGTGGTCCGCATGGGAATGCAATCCCCAGCCTCAGGCTAGGAATAGGAAAATATGCTTTCCTGGCAAGTGAACAGAAGCAATTCCTAAAGGAGTTTTATGGCTTATGGAACCTGCTACATTTGAATTACAATATCAAGGTCTGTCAACATAAAGCCAAACCAGATAAAAAGTGGGAGCCTAATCTGCTAAGCAGAATTAAGAGATTTCACCTCTAGAGCAGACTAGAGGTGAAACTCAGCCAGCTCCGGAAGGGGAATGAGCAGTGCTGGATTAGAAGCCAGTAGCGCACAGGGAAAGTAAGACATCAAAGGGACTTCACAGCAAACAATACGCACAGGCTAGGGAACACCACCACTGAAGAGAGGGACAGATCTGACCTTCTCTCTGAACTAATAAGGGCACCTTTGTGAAACTGGGCTTGGAAGCCTGACAAACCCTCCCACACTTTGGTAGGTAACCCAGAGGTACGAGCGGGAGAAGTGGCCAGCTGCTGCTAAGAGCATCTCCCAGGAAGTGGGAGATCAAGTTCCAGTTCTGCGGTTTCCCAGACCCAGAGGAGTGCCCTAACCAGCCAGCTGAGGACTATTCT